TGTTTATAAATAGTTGAAAATTATTAGCTTTCTGCTATTGAGATCATTTTTTGGGGTAATACATTCTTCAACTATTTAAATGAGCAATATTATATGAAAAATGTTAATACGAAAAACATATTTATTTTCTTCTGGTATCAATATTAAAAATCCAAAAAGAACACCATTACCTTCTTATAATATTAATACCTTATATTAGGGGGACTGGAAAGTAATGTCGTTTCGGAGCATTAACTATTCGTTAGTTATCTTAAAATTTTTTTTTCTTTCTTTGATCAATTTTCGATCCGGCATTGAAAGGTTGTTGGTAACGAGGGTTAATACATTATCGATTAAAAGTAAAATCTTGATAACAAATATCACATACACCGAGACGATATTACTTTACAGTTTTGTCTTTGCAAATAGAAGTTCGTAATTTCATCAAAACTTCAAGAAATATTTCTCAAAACGAATGCGACGAACTGTGCTTTCGACGAATTGTGCCCCCGACGAAATGTGATGACGGCAAATTGCTCCCTGACAAATTGTCACTGCGACAAACTGACGTTGAACCTCTTTATATATCATGAAATTTTTTTTTTCGAGAAATATAATCGAAATGGATACATTTATGACTTTGAATTATGATTTTATGACTGTTAATGAATTTATGTAGTAAGACTTTGGTAACGGTATTTGAAATTTTAACTTTTAAGAAACTCCCAATTATTGTTAATTTAAAAATAGGGTTCGCAAAACTATCATGTTCTGAAGAATTCAGCGACGTAATTAGGCAATCTGGTAAAAGAGAAGATAATGATAAATGACATCATATACTCCCTAAGCATACTTAAACTAGTCATTACATACTAAGTTACTCTTGTCTGCTATTAATTCAAAAATTTTTGAAATTTAACTTGGAAAAGTGAAGATTATTTAAAAGCTATACGTTACCAAATTGTTAGGAAATTAAGCAACTCACATACAAACAAGTTAAACAATAACTTCGATTCACTATATGTAGGTAATCTTTTCTTAAGTTAATGAAATAAACGGTGCATTGCACTGACAGGTTTTTCCTGATTAAAATATATAGTTACGAATGAAAAATGAAAGAAACTCTTCACTTATATTTAGTGACATGTCACATTTTTATGCAAGGTGATTACTGCGAATATTGTTTGATAGATAAGTAAAAATAATAAAGTAAAATTGTCAAGAAGTAATGATATTTAACCGCTCTAAAAGATTGATGATATTTTAATTTCATAACTCAAGTTTCTGTCTTTTGCATTTGTAAAATTTTGCATAAAAATACCTTAATTTTTCGGCTTGTTAAATTAGATAACCTTGCAGAAAAATAAAGTTCACAATGAAAAAATGTTTTCAGATATTTTGAAATAATATAAATTCAAATTTTAAAAGAAATATGCTTAGATATGCGTGTTTTGATTTTATTATTTTTTTAATTATATTTTGATAAAGTATTCATGTAAAATTTACATGAAGTTAACACATTTTTTTTCGAAATAACTCATTGATTATGAATTTATGATTATTCAAACATCCAGAAATTTATGTTTAGAGCAAATCGATAAATTTATCTTCAGAAACTAAAATCTGTAAAATGGAATGTAATTAATAAGAGAAATATATAAATACTAGGAGGCTTCGCCCCCTGCTCGCTGGCGCTCGCCAACCCCCGGAACTGCTTTCACAGTTCATTTCGGATTGCTTCGCAAGCCAATGCTCGCTTTGCTCGCTCATTGGATACGTTCTTAACGTCTAGTTTTTGTGTACTTTTTTGACTACTGAAGTTTCGAAAACTTTTCAATGTAAAAAATTCTAAACCTGTACATTTCAATATTCATTTGAAATTGCAAACAGTTCACATATTTTTCTTAATCACACTATTCTAAATTTCAGTTGTTGAGAAAAGTAACTGTAGTAAGTTTTGTTTTAAAGTCTTTCCCACCAGAGGGCTAAAGCCATGTNTCATGGAACTTTTTAGCGAAATGTTTTTTAACCTAACAGAATTCTTTGCCGACTGTTTTCTCTATAAATGAAGAAAATAAAGTAAATATTTAAGTGTAGTGAAAATAATCTTATTTAGTTGTACAAAGTACTTCAGCCAAAATTTGGGAGCCACGTAAGAAAATTATATATATTAGATCAGAAACACATCATTAAAAGGGAGAATGCTTTGGTGTTTTCAAAACAAAGCAAACGTTGCCACCGGCGGAAAAGAAATACAGCCAAAATTTGGGAGCCACGTAAGAGAATTATATATAATAGATGTTCGAGAATAAATAATTTTTCAATTGAATGAACAAAATATATTTAAATTGATGTACTTACACTGTAAAAACTTCTGGATTAAATTACGGTGAAAAAGTACCATCATTCAGGGTGCCGGTACTTTTTACGGTAAAATTACGGCCGGTACTTTTTACAAAAAATCTGATATAAAGTGAGCATATTAGAATTTTTTTATATTATATTACTAGCTGAATACCCTTTCTTCTCACGGGGTGAATAAAAATAGGTATAAAATCGATAAATCAGTACTTAGAAACATTGCGAAATCATGCTCTAAACTAAAAGGCATGTACGGACACAATTAAGGAGCTTGATGGAAGAACTTGCAAAGGGACATTTTAGGGGAAATAAATGAATTAGATAAGATAACATAAAAATGGTTGTATCAATATGGGTATATTTAATATAACATGACTGCTTTTGTCTTCACTCTAATCTTAACATAACTAATTCATATTAGTTTTTAGAATTCTTGAATGTTTTTTGTTTCAAATTAGGCAGTAGTAAATAAAATAAAGCAAAGAAGTATTATCATGTATACTTCTTTGTATACTCATGTATACTTTCGCAGTAGACTTATTATGTATATCTTCTAATAAATTGGTAATAAGATAGTTCAGATACAACTTTATTTTCCATTCTGAAAAGGTCACTTACCTTTTACAGTTTTTCAATTAATATAACTAAAGCAATTTCAATTTTTTTTTTATTTTCAATTATTTGTTGCCCTTTTCGATGGCTGTACGTTACTGAAGTAAGCAAAATTTGTTTTTCGCAGTTTATCCCTTTACCATAAAGATAAAGAAATAAAGATCCTTTAGCACCACTATCAAATTTTCTCCGGTACATAAGTCTTTCGAGGGGACGTAAAACACATATTTCCATAGTATCGGTATTAGAACTGCTTAGTATTCGAGCAGTTTTAATAAGCACCAAATATATCGATATAATAATTTTTACATATATTAGTAGATTCGGTACTCATTACATAACCTTTCAACATTTAAATTTTGGACGAAATATATTTGTCAATAGCAGCCAACTAAATCCGAATATTTTATTCTAAAAAATAGAATTCTTATAAGAAATTTATGAAGATTTTGGTGCATGATCATTTTTTATCTGTCATTTACTTTATTGTTAAAATATTTATAAGTAGTGGTGGAAAAAAATCGTTTATTTCTAAGTCATTAAAATAATAATACGCTATCTTTGCTACCATTGGAAAAAATATTTTCTGATACCCGTTGTAGAATTCTTATCAAAACTGCACCAATAACCATAATACCAGTAATTCATATTACCGTCAATAGTATAAAGTGTCAGGTGGGAATGACGATTTTCTACGATTTTCCTAAACAAATTTCCCATTGACCCTTTCTCTTTTAACTTAGCTTTTTAGCACATAGCTTATTTTATTTCAACTAACTCTTATTATCTATATTAATTAAGCATTAGTGTCAATAATAATATGGCTATTTTATACGGTTCTCCAAAATGAATAAGTATCTCTTCTCCATAACTTTTTTTTTAGCACATAAATTGACTTTTATTTATTTCAATTAATACATATTGCCAACCTTAATTATGCATCGTCGTCGTCAATGATAGTATGAAGAATTTTTACGGTTCATCTAGCCAAACAAATACCTTTACTTCATTAATTTTACTTTCTAGTACATAGCTTATTTTTTTATATTTCATTATGCATATGTTACCTAAATTAATTAAGCATAAGTGGCATCAATAATAATATGGCTATCTTCGAAGCGAATTGGGTATACTATAGCCTACGTCACAGGTCGTGTTATTCCTACTAAATTTTAATTAGTAAACAGCATTTACTGCGAACCTGATTTCTAGCGACAAGTAAACATTAAACGAAATGTGTTGTTATGAGTCGCTAATCGTCAGGTTGGAAATGTCTTAGTCTAGTTCCTTTCGAAATAATTTATTTTGTTGTTTTATCTAAGTTTATGAATTTAGTAAACATATTTAAAACTCAGCTTATTAATTAAACTAAAAGGTAAATATTATTCCTAGTAAAATTTTAGGAGTGGAAGTAGTTGTGTTTTTTTCATATTATACCCAATTAGTACACTTTCCCATTAATTTTGCTTTAAGATACATGAATATTTTTCTCTATTCAATTGATGTTGATTTTAATTAAAAACGTTTTAGAAACATGTTTTAAAATAATTGATGTAAACAAAATAAAAAGCGTGGAATCAGACACTTTTAAAATGATAAATTTTGTGAGGTAGACCACTCGTCCTACCACGTAATGTTGTACATTGAATTTATCTGAAATAGCGAACAAAAAAAATTAAATATTTAAATAAGTGCAAAAGTTTTTTTGGATCAAAAAGAGCTATAAGCTAGCAATTATCACAGATGTTCTCTTTAAATTATGGAAAAAGTGGAATCGTTTATAGTTAAATTTAAAACAATGGCAAACGCTTAAAAAATCAGAAAATTCTTTTTCGTTTTTCGCTCATCCTGCACGAACAATTCGTCGTAGAATGTTCTAATGCTAACAGTGATCTTCCTCTTGCTACAGACTATCTGTAATTCAAATTTCATTGATTTCGGTTTTATGGTTCAGAAGTCTATAAAGGACATTAGACAATTTTACTAACCGCAATATGTAATGATTCCATGCTTATTATAAATGGTATTTCTTTTTAGAATAAACTAGTAACTTTTTTATTGTTCTAACAGTTTACAGCTCCTTTTATTATATCTGATGCTTTCTCTGCCACCATGATTGTAGGTATATTTGTATTTCCTGAAGGTATTAACGGCATAATCGAAGCATCTACTACACGCAAACCCTTGATGCCTTTTACCCTAAAAGAAAAAATAAATAAATATAAGTCTTAAATAAAATTTTTTACAAATAAAAATACACTCGATATAGATAAAAAAAATTCATGACATCGTCTTAACTTAAAATATCGTCTGCACTAATTAATTAGAATATTTGAGGTCGGCCCTTTGAATTTTTAAGATTGAATCAAAAAACGTAAAGAACCGATTATTAGATTAAAAGTTATTCAGGGTGGACTTTTCATTTTTTTTGAGCATTGTACAACTGTTTAAAATTAGACTATATCGATTAAATTGGCAGTAAAAGTGGTAAGTTTAATAAAGCAAATGCTTTGATTGAATTTTAGATGATAAGAGATTTATTGCATTTTACACAAGTTTATCCACTTGTTTTTATAAAATGGATGTGTTTTCCACTTTAATTTCCTTAAAGTTCAATTGCCCTCAGGTTTATAAAATTGTCTGAAATAAATATTTGTTTTGCTTAGAATTACCACTTAATTGCGAGCCAAAATTATATTCTCATTTACTTTGTTCCTTAAATAATCGTATTTATTCTATGCCTCTTGTATTTAAGAAACTTAGTGTATTCACTTTAGTTACTTTGTATTTTGGAATACTCGAGTGCTATCCTTAGCTATCTTAAAGCTCTAATTGTCACCTACACTGTGTTCTTCTTTTTGTTGTTGTTTTTAATGCCACTTGCCAATGCTTGCAAGATGCTTGATGAAACGAACCGAATTTAAGGCAGAGATTGCGTTTCTTCGCTTTTCACAGTGGCGTCATCTATGGCCAAGAATAAGACTTCAGCCACACACATCACAGCTTGGACCTATTAAAACATCCACTCATTCATTCACAGATCGTAGATTTGACCAGAACCAGAGAATGATCAATTTCTTATTCTGTATGATTTGTTACGGGAATATAGAGAACTTTGTGTCCCGACAGAGTTAACTTGCACCAGTCCCCACGTTTTCAGCCGGCGAGAATTGAACTCATGACCTCTTGGATATAGACTCCTCGCCCCACCAACTATACTCTCTTCAATGAGCCGTCATAAGGCATTGAGTTGTCATTATGAAGAACTGAGGCTTCAGAGGTGACTTGAAGCCCACTTAATTTCAGAACGATGAGTGCCAGTTTGGTTGGGATGCAAAGGCATCATATGCATAATGTTTACCATATTACCAAAATCACGCTGTTGGCTAAAGTTGTAAACACCAACCACCATTAAACTTCTTGGTTATATTTAACCTTTATTAAATTGAAAAACTTTTACCTCAATTCGGGATCAACTACAGTAGAACGGTCGTTTGGATTTCCCATTTTGACTGTACCAACTTCGTGGCTTTGACTGAAAGTTATGGCTAAAGCTTGACACTTATAGTATTCATAAGAGAATGCTTCAAAATTTTCACAGCCAGGATACGTAGTGTTGAATGGTTTTGCTCGAATCTTCCTCATTGCACGACTAGCTAAAATCTTTTGACAAGTTTTCATTCCTAAAAGATATTTCAATCAATAAAATCATGCATTTACATAATCAGTTAGCAAAAAGGTTATTAAATTTTTTTTATTACTTTTACAGTTTAATACTAATATCAAAAAAACTATGTCTATATATTAGGAAAACTATTAAATGAATGCACCACAAGTGTTTATCTGTGTGGGGGAGGAGTTAATCGACAATACACACCGTCATCTATCAAAAGGTACCTCGTGATAGAATCAAGTTAGCATGCTTTATATACCAGTGAATTGATGTTTAATTTTCGTAGTGGTAGTTACGCCACATTACTCCCCCACCAGAATTCTATTAGGGATAGAATTCGTTGTATAGATACCACTAGTTGCTGTACTTGTGACAGACCGGGTGAGCGGTCACCGGTATTTTGGGTGCTGAATGTGAGAGGTGTATTAACTTCACAGTAGTCGTCTCTCCTGTGTTGACATTAGCAGTTGAGTGTACGCAGGTGTTGAGAGTGTATGACGTTGTGTGTTCGAGACGAGATTGAGTAGCAACAGCGCAGGAGGGTGTTGATGCAGTCACAAATAGCTAGTCAACTTTCAATGTGGACTATCCATCGATAGTAGGCGTTACTGATAGGGATTTTATGAAGTGGGTGTTACTGCGTGTTCTAATCACGCCCGGAGGTCGCCATTGTGAGGGAGGAGTTATCGACAATACCAACCATCATCTATCAAAAGGTACATCATGATAGATGGTCTGGTCTTGTTGGTTGGTCGGGGTCCCTGAGGCCAAGATGGCCCTTTACCCCTTCATCATGAAGTATGGATCGTTGAGGTGAAGCCCTGAGGTGGTAAGCATAATGCTAAAGTTGAAGTGGGGAGAAAATGGCACATTGCCATGGTGCGGAAAAGCTGTGGTGACTTGAAGAAGAGTTGAGAGTAATCGACAAAAATGAAGTCCGCTGTGCTTTGCTTGAGGAAAACTTCTCGCTGTTTTTAAGATTACTTATCTCGAATTGATAATTAACATCTCCAGTCTCCGCTAGTAACTAAACTGGCGAGGACCCGAAGGACAATAGATGTTAGTAAAGCCAGACTCCTACTTGCGAAACATGCTTCGACCAGTCGGTTTCAAACGCAAATGGCCGCCATTAACATGTCGGACAGGCCTAAATGCTACTAACGAAAGGTCAATGCAATCATCACGTTCACTCATGATAGAATCAAGTTAGCATGCTTTATATACCAGTGAATTGATGTTTAATCTTCGTAGTGGTAGTTACGCCACAATCTGCAATATCTTACCTTTGATTTTATCTTTTCTGTCAAGTAAACAAAGTTTATTCTTCAATAAATGTGTTTTATTATGATTAAGCGGTAAATAAGTTACATTTACTATTTGAGAAATTATATTAAGGTTTAAAAATAAATGGGTAAAATACGGTTCTTAGTCAACGCATATAAAATAATAATTACAAAATAAATATTTACAAGAAAAAAAAGCAAATTAAACTTATTGATATATAATCCCTATATCGAAAAGCATTTGTGAGTTTATATAAGAACTAAAACTTAAATAGGATTTTGAAAACCAAATATGTTTATGAAGTTACAATGGTAACCTAGAAAGTGGCACCATTCTCTCACATGGCACCATAACTCGAATATTTCTCTATGTATTGGCAACAGTATAATAATTATTCAATTTCGTAGGTTCTAGAAAAAGTAGCGTTAAATAATTATTACAGTGATAGAAGCATGTAAAACTATGAGAAAATATTTATCAGCTTTATCTTAGTTTATAAAGTCGAATAAAAACTGCATAATTTGGATTCAACTGAACATTTTGATAGTATAAAACTTTTTAATTAATTTAACTTTTTATTTAAATTTACATAAATTTTTTAATCTCTAATAAGTAATGATATACTAATTGTCACTTACCTTAATTATCAAATAAATTGACTTACTATAATTACTGTTGTTATATATNTTGACTGTACCAACTTCGTGGGTTTGACTGAAAGTTATGGCTAAGGCTTGACACTTATAGTATTCATAAGAGAAAACTTCAAAATTTTCACAGCCAGGATACGTAGTGTTGAATGGTTTTGCTCGAATTTTCCTCATTGCACGACTGGATAAAATATTTTGACAAGTCTTCATTCCTAAGAGATATTTCAATCAATAAAATCATGCATTTACATAATCAGTTAGCAAAAAGGTAATTAATTTTTTTTTATTACTTTTACTGTATAATATTATTTTTATTACATTAATTGTCTTACTTTTATTGTCTATCTATATTTCTAAGAGAACTATTAAATGAATGCACCACAAGTGTTTATCTACAATATCTTACCTTTGATTTTATCTTTTCTGTCAAGCAAACAAAGTTTATTCTTCAATAAATGTGTTTTATGATGATTAAGCGGTAAATAAGTTACATTTACTATTTGAAAAATTATATTTAGGTTTAAAAATAATTGGGTAAAATACGGTGTTTAGTCAACACATATAAAATAATAATTACAAAATAAATATTTACAAGAATAAAAAAGCAAATTAAACTTATTGATATATAATCTCTATATTGAAAAGAATTTGTGAGTTTTTATAAGAACTAAAACTTGAAAAGGATTTTGAAAACCAAACATGTTTATGAAGTTGTAATGGTAACCGAGAAAGTGGCACCATTCTCTCGCATGGCACCATAACTCGAATATTTCTCTATGTATTGGCAACAGTATAATTATCATTCAATTTCGTAGGTTCTCGTAAAAGTAGCGTTAAATAGTTATTACAGTGATAGAAGCATGTAAAACTATGAGAAAATGTTTATCAGCTTTATTAGTTTATGAAGTCGAATAAAAACTGCATAATTTGGATTAAACTGAACATTTTGATCGTATAAAACTTTTTAATTAATTTAATTTTTTATTTAATTTTACATAAATTTTTTAATCTCTAATAAGTAATGATATACTAATTGTCACTTACCTTAATTATCAAATAAATTGACTTACTATAATTACTGTAGTTATATATATTTATATAGTTATATAATGTACTTATATACACCTAAGAGCCATTACATTATGCCCACCCTGCTTATAACATGTAGGACCACCTTTAGCCCTCAAAACTGCTGGCACCCGCCATGGCATTGATTCCACAAGGTGCTGATAGGTAGTCTGAGGTATCTGGTACCAACCTCTCACCAACTGGTTCAGCAATTCCCTCACATTGCGAGGGGATAGCGTGGCAGCACGAATTTGGTTTTCCAAGTAGGACCACGGATGCTCTATTGGATTAAGGTTAGGTGAATTTGGGGGCCAAGACATGACTTGAAAGTTACTGGAATGTTCCTTGACGATTCGACCCTTATGACATGGTGCAGTATCCTGTTGGTAAACACCACTCCCCGCAGGAAAAACTGTTGCCATGAATGGGTGAACCTGATCTGCAACTATGTTCAAGTAACTTACAGACGTCAGGGATTGTTCTATGAGGATTATGGGTCCTAATGTGCCCCATTAATGCATTGTTCCTGGACGAGAAACCATGAAAACCTAGGCGAGCCCATTGTTAAAGATGGAGGGTGGTCGTAATGTAATGGCTCTTCGGTGTACATATATACTAAACATAGTTACTTTTTACAAAAATATTTTTTAATATTTTTTCCTAAGTTGAAATTTGTATAATTATACAACAATTTTATGCAATAGATTTGCAGTTTACAGCATCATTAATGTGTGTAAATATCATATTTGGTAATCTATATTTTCTTACGGGTTATTTATCTATATATTGCCAACACTATAGTTATTATTAATTTTGGTTGGCTGTTTTAAGTAATAGTTTAAGTAGTATTAAAAAAATAACTTACATGTTACGTACTTAATTTGAATAATTTCGTATTTTTCTTGAAATAAAAACTTAATTACGAAGCAGTTATATAGATTTATATTTGACCCATTCTAAAATGGTTTTATAAACTTTAAACATAAACGGTATCGAATACTGTCATACCAATTATTTTTGACGGAGCTTATAATTTTCGAGCAATGGCATACATATATTAACACGATAATCACGTTAGGGCTCAAGAGGTGCGCAAGCACGTAAGCAATACAGCGCTTAATAGAACATAAGGATGAAATTTCTATCTTAAGGCAGAGATGTAAATCATTTTAATACTTCTGCTGCCTTCTGTGCTAAAATGTTCTACATTTACAATGGTTTGTATGATTTAGTCACTGCCAGACAGATTTAAATCATTCCTAAAATTAAATACATAAAAAATTTGACAATATACCGCGGTAACTTTTCAAAATAGTTAAAGTTTTTGAGCGCGGGCTACAGCTGGACAGTGAAAAAATTTGGTAAATATATTGCTTAACACTAATTAAGGTGCTAAAAATGGAGGAGGGGTTTAAATAATTCGGATATTTAAATACATTTGTACTGTGTATTCGTTTTGGTTACCATTGAAGTTTATAAGATAATTTCCAAAGTTGGTCTCCAAAGGTGGTTAGAATTTCAATATTGCGTGAAATAATTTTTGAGTTGTTAGGTCTTTAAGTTTGTAAAATTTTTAACAAAGTGATGTGTCAAAAATATTTCCATTTTATGTTAGTTATGCTTTGTTTTTTTAGCGATCTTAGAAGTCTAAACAGTGCATAACAATTTGCATGCAATTATGAAGACCGTATACCAAAAGATAACTCCATAAATATACTTTTTTTTAATTTTATGGTTTATTCATTAATGAGAAAAAATGCTATGAATGACATAGATAAATTTTATGTAGTGATATAAAAAATTCTATCTTTACAAACTATCTTTCTTATCTTTAAAAATAGCAGAAAAATCAATTTTGAGCAAATTTTTTTAAGACAAATGGAATATACAAATGGATTATACAAATATTACTATAGAAAAAAATATAGAGACAATTACATTTAAAGTAACGTGTTGTAAGTAATGAAGAATATCCAAAAAAAATTTCAAAAACATAATTATGAATTTTCCTGCGCTTATGGAGCTTAATTACCTTATAATTGAAAGACAAGGCTCTTTGAAAATGTATTTAGAATTTATAATCTTATTTAATATTTTGAAAATTTCTGTGGTTTTTACCATGCAAGACTCATAGTTTTCCATTCGCAAACACCAGATAATCTAAGAAAACTACGACACGCATGTTGTTTCCAATACTCTAAAAACCTTTATATGCGAAAATCTATAGGAAATTATAATAGCATTAGGAATTTCATTTAAAATGATACAGAATGAAAAATGTAAAGTTTCTGTTAAAATGCAGAAAAATATTTTCAGGAGACTTTGTAATTAAAAAAAAAAGATTCTGTAAACTACGTTCTGACTCTTAGACATCAAACGATACCGCCAGGAATGTTACCTAGAAGTGAAATGCAAACCACTAAGACATGATCAAAGAAAGTGCAAATTGATGAGATACGCTCATTTAGCTTAGGGAATCGAACTTCGATCAAAACCGTGGTAACCGAAGGAGCCTCTACGTGGCTATGAAATAAATAACAAGATTAAAATGTCTAAAACAAAGTTCTTTTGGAAAAACTGTTAATAGATTTAACGATTTAACAAAGGGAAAACTGTTAAAAGAGTTTTTATTTCTTTGTCTTTGAATTTTGCAGATATTTTTTTACAGTTTATCCTATATTAAAAAAGTTAAAAAAGTATTTATTTTTTGAAAAACAGACTTTAAAAAGCATGTTCTTTCTATGTAAGTATAAACATTATATTAACATTTAATCACATAATTTAAAACTTGAAATTAATCAGAATAATTGGGATCAATTATATTTTTAAAAGCTGTTTTAATTAATTATTAAATTATAATTAATTTTAAAAACAGATTTAAAGCATATTCGATGTAAATAGAAATATTATATTTACCTTCAATTGCAATAATTTAATTCTTGAGATCCATCGAAATAATTGGGATAAATTAGACTTTTTAAAATAGAGTTGATTAATTATTTAATTATAATAATTTTAAAAACAGATTTAAAAAAGCATATTCGGTATAAATATAAACATTATATTTATCTTCAATTGCACTACCTTAAATCAAGAGAGATTCATCAAAATAATTGGGATCAATCAGATTTTTAATAGCATATTTAATTAATTATTTAATTATAATTAGTTAAAGAAACAAAGCATACTCAATGTAAATATAAACATTATTTTTACCTTCAATTACATCATTTAAATCTTGAGATTCATCAAAATAATTCGGATCAATTAGAGGAGGATCATAAGCATTTGACGATTGTAATTTTACTGTGCCTCTGCTTTTTGGTTGAAGAATTTGAGAATTACAAAATCCTGCCGCTTTGCCTGCATAAGGTTCGAAGTATTGCTTGTAGGCCTAAGAAAAAATTTACNATTCTTGAGATCCATCAAAAGAATTGGTATCAATTAGACTTTTTAAAACAGAGTTGATTAGTTATTTAATTATAATTAATTTTAAAAACAGATTTAAAAAAGCATATTTGGTATAAATATAAACATTATATTTATCTTCAATTGCACTAACTTAAATCAAGAGAGATTCATCAAAATAATTGGGATCAATCAGATTTTTAATAGCATATTTAATTAATTATTTAATTATAATTAGTTAAAGAAACAAAGCATACTCAATGTAAATATAAACATTATTTTTACCTTCAATTACATCATTTAAATCTTGAGATTCATCAAAATAATTCGGATCAATTAGAGGAGGATCATAAGCATTTGACGATTGTAATTTTACTGTGCCTCTGCTTTTTGGTTGAAGAATTTGAGAATTACAAAATCCTGCCGCTTTGCCTGCATAAGGTTCGAAGTATTGCTTGTAGGCCTAAGAAAAGATTTGTTCTAATTTTAAAATTTAGGGAAGTATAAAAAATTAATGAAATTATTGGTAAAAAATTCACAAGATTTTTTCATATTTTCAAATAATGTATTATTCAAATATTTTCATCTTTCATATTTTCAAATATTTTCATTCTTTCGCGGAACCTTAGGGTACCATGGAAGCGTAAAAATGATAATAACAGTTCGAATATTTCTAACTAGTAATGAATTTTGAAATCTACATTTATATTTAGATTCGATCAATAGTCCATTATTTATTTAATATTTTGATTGTCTTTCTGTATAAATTGTGCAAAATGACAAAAGGAACTGACTAAATATTTTTCTTTAAAAATATTTTCTAATAACAGTGTTTGAAAAAAATTATCAAAGAGACATGCATTTCGGAAATATCTTGCTCATTAAATCAAAATAAAATAACAAATTCGTAATCAAGAAATATATATTCCCAACCCAATAACCATTTTCAGCCGTTCTTTTTAACGGAAACTATTTCAGATAAAGTATTACGCCATAACATCAGATTCTGTATATACGCCATAAACAAACTCTAAACTTAACTATTATATATATCTGCAGGAGTGCGAATTTAATTGTCAGACATGAAACTTAATTTAAGATGGTTAATTATAAAAAATATTCATTCCTATTAATAGGGAAAATAAATTGGTATTTTACTGGTTAATACGCTAACAAATGCATTTATATACATTTTTCGTAAGTTTTGTTATTTAGGGTTCTAAAACTATTCTATATCAATATACTAAAACAAATACGTTACGGATAACTAACTAACTCAGTGGCGCGACAGCCCATTAAGAGGGCCAAGGCCGACTGTGCCCATCTCAGTTTTCTTGACCTTGGGCTCTGGGGTGCAGGAGCATATGTTCCGGTCAGGTGGTCAGCCGAACGCGGAACCCCCAGTGTTAGTTCCCAAGCATGCTTGGTACTCATTTTATCGACCCACTGAAGGGATGAAAGGCTGAGTCGGCCTTGCCCGGCCCAAGGATCGAGCCAAGGACCTGCGGCACGGCAGCGCGAAGCGCTACCACTCAGCCACCGGGCGTCGTTACGGATATTTCCTTTTAATTAATCTTAGTGATATATCTATTTCTCTCTCTCTATATATATATATATGTGTGTGTGTGTGCGTGTGTATAAAAATAATATAGTGTAACTATATAATAGTTAAAATATCAAGTTAAATATAAAGATAACATTTTTATAAAGGAGAAAGAAATGTTAAGGTTTTTTTTAAAGGAGAAGAAAAAATATTTAAACAAAATTTAAAAAAATATTAAAAAAAAACGGAAAACAAAATAAGGAAAAGATATAATCTCGTCATATATATTTACCAGGACGATATATGATATTGCTTTTATTTTTTTTATTACCCTGGTAGTATTACATTAGTACCTTGCGCACATCCATTTTAGGACCAATTCAACGTAACTAACAAATCAAACGTGCTTCGGTACAACAGAAAGAATGCGCCATTAGAGATCTCTCTACTTACGCTCCTAAACTCTATTTGCGCTTCTGCTTTCATATTTTGTAATCTGGCAACCTTATTACGAAAATATTTTTAAACCTTCTTGAAAGACTACGCAACGTGTAAATTCATTTCAATTCGCTACTCGCTTTATAGATTACGTTTTGTGTTTTGTTTTGTATTTTTTTACATTTTATTTTCCGCTGTTTGCTTGATATGTTTCATTTTGTAAGCATTTTTTACTTAATGTATTCTATTTTCGTTTCAATTTTTTATGTGCTCCTCACACTATAGTATTGATATATTTTTCTATGGCTATATTAATACAATGTTAGAAAGCACTCACTTTTGCGGATATAATCGTGTGAGCTGATGACGAGATTATATCTCTTCCTTATTTTTTTTTCCGGCTCGTTAATATTTTTTTAATACTTTTTTACTTTTTTTAAATATATTTTGTTTTAATAATTTTTTTCTTCTCTTTTCATTAATCTTTATTATATTATTTTCCATGTTGCATATTTTTTTCTCCAATGCCCAATTGGATAAAGACCTAGGTCATACAGGCATCTGCAGGGCAGATTTGTTGACCACTCTTTCAGGGGCAACGTATTAGGTGGGCCAACGTTGCTCCCACAGTAAGGACAGAGAGCACACAGAGGGAAAGGACCTAACCGCTACACTTGGCGAACAACTTGGCTTAGGTATTCTTTGGCCAAGCCCCTACACATGCCGGTCGGCTCCATGTGTTAATA